GCAAAAGAAGCACATGAACAATTTGCACTCGTATGGACATGCTCAGCCTTTCTACCCGTTATACTTGAATATGCATTCGATGTAAACCCTAAACCCTAAACCCTAAACCCTAAACCCTTAACCCCAAACCCTAAACCCTAAATTCTAAACCCTAAATACTTTGTTACTGTTATATCTAGGAACCAGTTGATTTTCTTGTTTTCTGCGGAGATGCACACTCTATAGGGTGCAGTAGGGTTTAGGGTTTAGGGTTTGGGGTTTACGGTTTAGGGTTTGGGGTTTAGGGTTTGGGGTTTAGGGTTTGGGGTGTGAGTAGCATATGCAGGGTTTTCTGTTTTGGCTTTATCTCGATCCCAGTGTAACTCCTACGATCTAGGGTTTAGGGTTTCCTAGGGTTTAGGGTTTACTAGGGTTTACTAGGGTTTAGGGTTTAGGGTTTAGGGTTTGTGTTTTTTTTTTTCAGGTTCCACCTGAGTCTGTGCTTTCTCTTGATGCATGGCTGCGGGCTACTGCTGCTGCTGGGCTGCTGTCGGAGGGTTTGCTGCTGCAGCAGCTGCAGGCTGTAGAGACAGCGCGTATGGGTGCTTCTGGCTTCGATGCTGCATCACCAGACCTGCAGCAGCAGCAGCAGCAGCAGCAGCAACAGCAGCAGCAGCAGCAGCAGCAGCAGCAGCAGGAGGAGGCTATGATGAGATGGGCGGAGCAAGAGCCGTCGCCAGACCTCATGAAAAGATGCAGCAGACTCTGGGAGCTTCTCACGCTCCCCTAGTAAGACTCTAGGGTTTAGGGTTTAGGGTTTAGGGTTTAGGGTTTGGGGTTTAGGGTTTAGGGTTTGGGGTGTGTAACGGCTTTGCTGCTTCATCTCTGTGCATTTCTTTACCCGTTCCTTGATTGCCGTTTAGGGTTTAGGGTTTAGGGTTTAGGGGTACCGTTTAGGGTTTAGGGTTTAGGGTCCAGGGTTTAGGGTTTAGGGTTTAGGGTTTAGGGTTTAGGGTTTGTGTTTGTTGCAGTGAGGATGCAGCGGAGTTTGTTGCTCACGCGAGGCCATTGCTGCGGCAGCGAGAAGCAGATGAGTTGTCTATTGCTTCATCTGCTGCTGACGCTGCTGCTGCTGCTGCTGCTGCTGCTGCTGCAGCAGCAGCAGCAGCAGCAGATATAGATGATGATGAGTCTGAGGATTTGTCGCTGCACCCGGGCGTAGAGGAGCAGCTGCAGCGGCTGCTGCTGCTGCAGCATTTGCTGCTGGAGATAGAGGGATTTCAAGAGCAGCAGCAGCAGCAATTTGTGCTGCTGCTGCCTGTCGACCGCAGCAGCTACAGCCCCGGTTTCTTTTTTTATATAGTTGGCTCGCTGCTGCAGCAGCCGCAGCAGCAGCAGCAGCAGCCAAGCAAGCAGCAGCAGCAGCAGCAGCATAAGCTACAGCATCTCCACTATAAACAACAGCACCAGCACCAGCAGCAGCAGCAGCAGCAGCAGCAGCAGCAACAGCAGCAGCAGCAAAACAAATACAGAGAAGTTTTTGCTGCTGGGGGAAGATGTGATAAGCTGCTGCACCAGGCGCAGGGGAGAGACGGGCCAGCAGCAGCAGCAGCAGCAGCAGCAGCAGCAGCAGCAATCTTCGTTGAGGTAGATATTGATCGTCTGTGTTCGCGGCTGCTGCAGATACAGCAGCAGCAAACTGAGTCCCCTGCAGCAGCAGCAGCAGCAGCAGCTGCTGCTGCTGCTCTCACTCCAGTATGGAACGAATCCAGCAGCAGCAGCAGCAGCAGCAGCAGCGGGAACAAGCGGAGCAGCGGCGACAGCGCGAGCAGCAGCAGCAGCAGCAGCAGCAGCAGCGCCAGCAGTAGCAGTAGNAGCAGCAGCAGCAGCAGCAGCAGCACGTGCTGCATGAGCAACAGCAGCAGCAGCAGCAACCTCCTAGAAGTTGCTGCCAGCTGGGCGCTGCCTCAGGTGCTGCTGTGCGTGCAGCAGCAGCAGCAGCAGCAGCAGCTGCTGCTGCAGCAAGCATCATTTCATCTACGAGCCCTTCTATTGAAACACGGCATCAAGGTAAACCCTAAACCCTCATGCTAAACCCTAAACCCTCGTACTAAACCCTAAACCCTAAAAAACCCTAAACCCTTACAAACCCTAGAAATCCCTAAACCCCTGAAAACCCTAAACCCTAAACCCTAGAAACCCTAAACCCTAAAAAGCACTACAAAAACCTTAGTATGCCGTGCTAAACCCTAAACCCTCACTATAAACCCCAAACCCTAAACCCTAAACCCTAAACCCTAGTTTTGTGTGCAGTGCGAGGCCCGTTCAATGCCGCTGGGGGAGGCGAGGCGGCTGCGCAAAACCCTCAAAAGGAGCGGCAGCCCGCGGGGTTTGCATTGGCTTGTATCTCTAGCAACAGCAGCAACTCCTGCTGCTGCTGCTGCTGCTGCTGCTGCTGCTGCTGCTGCAGCAGCAGCAGGAGCAAATGCAGCAGCAGATAACAACGCCGTCACCTTCTATGTAGAACATCTACATGTGGATCAGTGGACACGCGTAACAAACCCTAAACCCTAAACCCTAAACCCTAANATGTAGAACATCTACATGTGGATCAGTGGACACGCGTAACAAACCCTAAACCCTAAACCCTAAACCCTAATTACTGGTTCCCGCAGTCTTAGATATCCCCTGAGAGCTAAAACATTCGAGGGTTTAGGGTTTAGGGTTTAGGGTTTGAGAGCGAACCCAGTCTAGCTAGGCTGTGGGCGGTGTGGGGCTTCACTAACCCTCTAGGGTTTAGGGTTTATTAGGGTTTAGGGTTTATTAGGGTTTAGGGTTTAGGGTTTGGTGTGTGCGGCGTGCAGGAGTTCACTCGCATGGACGAGGTGGTGGAGTTTCTTCTATCGAAGTCTTCATCTGCCTGAGGGACTAAACCCTAAACCCTAAACCCCAAACCCTAAACCCTAAACCCTAAACCCTAGAAACGACACGCTACACACGCTGTTAACCCAAAACAGTTTGTGGTTTGTTGCTGTAGCATTCTAGGGTTTAGGGTTTAGGGTTTAGGGTTTCGAGCGGCATGGATGCTGCGGCGCCACCCTCAAAACCCCAAACCCTAAACCCTAAACCCTAAACCCTAAACCCTAAACCCTCGCTACTTGCCGAGGCAAAAATTTTTCTGAATTATACTGATGGCCTCTTGTGGCTGCCACTCTATACCTGTCAACTTCTCCAGCAGGCGCAGCGCGAACCTGCACATAAACCCTAAACCCTAAACCCTAAACCCTAAACCCTAAACCCTAAACCCTAAACCCTTATATGGGCTGCAGAAACACAGCGAAGCTAATTGCTTCTGCTGCAGCGGTTTAGGGTTTATTTGTTTGTTGTAAACACTCTTTCAATGCCTGACGTTTAGGGTTTAGGGTCTAGGGTTTAGGGTTTAGGGTTTAGGGTCTAGGGTTTAGGGTTTACCTGAGGTCCTCAGCTTTCTCCTCCAGGGCCTCTTCTTCTATCCCCA